TATTGTGTGTTTGTGGGGCGCTTTCTTTTTGTGTTTGCTTCACGTGTGATTATTTTCTCTTTCTACTTTCATAACCACATAATTTCCAGTACAAATAGGGAATTCTGTCAGCACGGCGGAAGAGACGCTCCATGCCGGGCTTAGCCAAAGGCCGCTGTTCTGCGTCTGCCCGGCTCCCGACGGAGGGAGCGAAGGGAAAGGTGTCGCGTAGCTGCTCTGTGGAGGAGCTTGCGATTGCCCGCGGAGCCTCCGGTCCTTGTGCAGGAGCGGAGAGATCACTGGGATCATTAGGGACTCTCAGGGGCAGCTGAGCGGTACTGAAAAGCCTTGACATGGTAGACGATAGTTTTCACTTTATATTGTCTTCAGGCAATTTTTTTTTTTTTATGACTAGAGGAAGAATGCAAATTTATAGTTGTGCGTCATATGCTGACAAAGGAAGGTATAGCTCAGTCATTGGCAGCGTTGGGTGCGCCATCGTCCATCGTGTGTTGAGATCTGAGTGTACTTGTATGGAGTCCTGAACTTGGAGACAACATCAAGCTTATCTCGTGGGATTTGGTATGCAGGGTGTTTATTTTCTGTTGTCGTTCTGCCCAGTGCTGTCAGCCATGAGACCAGACCTCTTTCTCACCATGTTGTCCCAATCACATGATCCAAGGACTTAAAAAATTTGAGGGAGGTAGTGGGCGGGGAGAAGACCTTTTCATAGAGACGTTTAGCAAGTTCCTAGTATATGAGAAGCTTGCACAGACTGTGATTCTTTGATTCTGCAAGTATTCATAAACATAAATTGATAGAAATGTGGAAAAGGACTCTGATTTTTTTCTTCAGAATTAGCAGTACATATCTACTTCTTTAGTGAAAACTTGCATTCACATAGTGAGCACAAAAGTTTTGCTGTGAGTCTAATTCATTATTAAAGACTGAAATTATTTTTATACCTGCTTTATATTCCTCCAAGTGGAGCAATCAGAGAAATACTATAGTCATATTAATTATAATAATGCTCAGCTGGATGTTTTTATTGAACATAATAGCATATGGCATCTAAACAATATTTCAAGAATACTATTCATATTCACAGTAGCTTGTGAACTATTACAACTTAACTATTAATATGCCTTTTTCTATGCTGTTGAAAGGGAATATTAGATTTTGCCGGTGTTTTCTTGATATTACTGTACTGTCCAGCTAAGCTAGACTAGTAAGTCATAAACAGTACAATTGAATTCATATAACAGTAGTATGAAAGTCTCTTTATCAAGACAGAAAGTAAAAAAAACAACTAATTTTTTTAACTTTCTGCAGTTTGTGGTATGAGTTTGAACATTCACTGTATTTTCCACTAATGCAGTTGCTCTGCTTCTCTTTCTGATTTAAAATAGCTCATGAATTTTGATTTAAAAAACTCTCTTCCTTGTATGTTATGTTCTAGTTCCACCTTGACTTCCTTACGCACAGTCTTTTTCACACTGAAGAAATATGGATGTCAAGAGTAGAAATTATTTACTTATGCATCGCCAAGCATTGGAAAAAGACATCAAGACCTCTTATATTATGGATCGTATGATTTCTGACGAAGTACTAACATTACAGGAGGAGGAGAGAGTGAAGCAACAGGTAGAATTGTCTCTCACTGTTATTTATTTTCCTAGTCTACTCACATGTTTTATCATCCTTTTTAAAAACAGTAATTTCTGTCTATCTCATTCCTAGTTTTAGCAAATTCTTAAGCGTATGCCTAGCATGCAGTTTTTATTGCACTTCATAAGGTTGAGTTAAGAGCTTGGTCAAGTTGAAGGCTATTTCTGTAACTATAAACAGTCTATAATTATCTAGAGTGTTACATGATTTATAAGGCCTTTTAGTTTTGTATAACATCTCTTTTAATGTTTTTTCTAGAATACACAGAAGGAGAAAGCAGCTATGCTTATAAACATTATTCTTACAAAAGATAATAATTCATATAGATCCTTTTATAATGCACTACTTCATGAAGGGTACAGGGATCTTGCTGCACTTCTTCAGGATGGCATCCCTGCCATCTCCTCTGGTAACAGAAAGAGTTCAATGGATGGAATGACTTCACACGGTCAGTGTAACTACACCAATCCTTGTGCTTGAAAGTAAAAGACAGGTTGCCTTTTTTATTCCTTATTAAGTGACTATCTGTAATACCTGTTCCAATGAAAAAGGAGTAGTTGGTGCATTCACTTGTTTTGGTAGTGTAGTAGTCAGTATTTCTGTATTTCATATATTTATGATGTCAAGAGAGTTGCAACAGTTACGACTTTAGTAGGTCATCTTGAAAATGTTCCTGTTAATGTTTATTTTAAAAGTCAGGAAACCTGAAGCTCTCACACTTTTCTCTAAATTGTAACATTTTTGTTGTACATGAAAGACAGACTGTTATTTGTATATTTCAAAGAAGTTGAATCTAACATAAAAAGTTGTAGCTTCCAAAATTCAGACATTTATCTTGAAGAGTAATCTGTAATCTCTCAGCCTACAGTCTGATAGTTGATCTAGTTAATTAGGTTGCTTAATTCTCTCCACCAGATCTTTTAGTTACCCCACATGAGTTCCTAACTTTTACCTACATTGTCATTGATATCATCTTTGGTTGACATGAAATAAATTGATAGTTTCTAATGGGAAGAACCTTCCAACTGGGTATGACTAACTGCCATATTCACTAGCACTCTACATTTTGAGAAGTGTCATAGACATGTGGAATTTTGATTACCTGAGTGTGATTTCCCAATGCTTATCAGTACAATACGGCACTGCATGTGGCCACTTTGTGGCCAGCAGTTCGACAGATAAAGTACACATTTCCTTTCCTGCTATGTTTTACCTGCTCTATTGCAAGTCATGCTATTTTAGCTTAAATCAAAGGAAGTCTTGCTTGGACCACAGTGTTGTGCTGTTAACTACAAAGTAAAAGCCTTACACAGCACACTTTCTTTTTTGCTGTGGCCATGGGGTGGTAACTTCTGGCTGAGAAAGTGACTTGATAGTTGGGTAAAGTAATGTTGAGCTCCCGTGTTTGCCATAGTTTCTGTTGGAGCTGTTAGTTACTTCAATCCCTAGAAGAGAAAAGATAATTAGCTTGCATAAAATGTAGTTATTAATTGGAACACTGTTGTAGGCAGGAGGCTAGTTACCTGTTAAGTAATTTATGTCTGAAAAGCAATATATTTTTTTTCAGTATTTGGTGTTATGAGTCCAGTAGTTTTTAGAGCATTTGTATGGAACACAAGGTGTGTGGGGGGAAGCCCACTAGTTATTTGAGTTGGGGAGTTGTTTGGTTTGGTTTGAAGAGGCATTGCATTTAGAAATTACTTTTAATTTTCTTGTTTCTTGTTTTTAACTTTAGTTAAGACAATCCTCTGTGAAGGAGGTGTACCGCAGAGACCAGTTGTGTTTGTCACTCGGCCAAAACTGGTAGACGCTATTAAACAGAAACTGCGTTGCTTGGGAAGTGATCCAGGCTGGGTCACAGTTTATGGAATGGCAGGTTGTGGGAAGACTGTTTTAACAGCAGAAGCTTTAAGGGATCATCAGCTCTTGGAAGGTACTTTTAGAAAAACATTCTATATTTTTATAAAAATTACTACAGGTATACACATATTGGACACATATGGCAAAGTATCTTATGTCATCTTGAAAGTAATTTAGGATTTAGGTTTCTAAATTCCTTAGGTGCTTCTGAAATATTTCCTTGCAACTTACAGTTTTCATAACCATTTAGTATTCTAGGATCACTAAATATTTTACTAATTTATGGGAAAAGATTCTGAATAGCTCTTTACCTTGGAATCTCTTTCAGTTTATGAGAGTAGATACATCCTTATTAGCTTGAAATTGTTATTTCTGTTAGTGCAAAATAATCGTATTTAGTTTATGGTCCTTTTGGGCATTTCTTGTTAAGTCCTCAGACTCTTCCCCTTTAAAAAATCTTGCTGTAACTTTTGCATGTATTTTAATAATGGCAGGCATTTGTGAAGTGATGACACTAGTATCGCTTTAGCTTAAAGCAGATCATAAATGAAACCATGTAATGACTTCCTATCCCCCCTCCCCCATATAGGACACTTGGAGGTGAAAGTGGGACGTGGGCATTAGAAAACATGATGTAGGGTTAGAAACTACAGCATCCTCTGCTACAGCTGACTCTCCTAGATGCCTTCTTGTTCACTGTTTTGGGATAACTTTCATATCCCAGACTCTGAATTCCTGCAGTAGTACAGGGTGAAAAAAGTAAATGGTAAGCCAGACTAGCAGGAAGATGGACGCAGAAGCGATTGTCAGGGGACAGGAAAGCACGTAGAGGGGAGGGACGACATCAGTGGCAGTGTGAATCCTTTGGGGGAACTTGCCCTGCAGAGCCTGTTCCTTTAAAAATAAAATATAGTGGTCTTGTAGAACCATCCTTCTGTGTTAATGGTAGAGTTGCAAGGTTGGCTTGCAATAGACTTCACAGTTTTTTATTTTAATTGAAATTGATTATTGATTGCTATTGTAAGCTACTATTAAATATTTCCAATGTTAAATGTATAGCATAATTAATATAGCTTTTTTTTGTTAGATTACTTTCCAGGTGGAGTTCACTGGATCTCTGTTGGAAAACAGGACAAAGCAGGGCTCCTAATAAAACTTCAGAATCTCTGTAGTAGATTAGAACACGACTCTACTCTTTCACAAAGGCCACCACTTAACGTTGAGGAGGCTAAAGATCGTCTTCGTTTGCTGATGCTACGCAAATATCCCAGGTAAATATGCCAGTAAAATGAAACACTGTTCTTTTAACTGATAAAACTTCACAGAGTAACTTTGGTCCAATCGTCTAAGGTGTCTGTGTTGTGGTTACATGTCTTTGTGGTATGTATTTTTTATTTAGTTTTTTTTAAAAACCAACTTTCGAACTCTTCCAGTTTTTGCTTCCCCTTTTTCTGTTTTACTAGATAATTAGGAAATATTATTTAAGGTGAAGCTAACAATACTTGTAGAATTTTAATTCTTATGTAGGGGTTCTTGTTAAAATTTTCTAAATTACTGACTTGCATATGGTAAAAAAATAAGTTCAGATAAGTGTACAAAAGCTGAAGGGTAAATTGATGCTGAAGGAAGATGTATAATATACATAGTATAACTCTGTCCCTGTTTAGGTTTTGTTTTTTTTTTTTTTATGGAGTAACTTAAGGGACACATTGTAGGCTTGTCCTGGATAGCAATATATTTAGTAGGCTTCTGCTAACAAAATATGTTAACCAGCTGGGCAGGAGCTACATTCACTTGAAAAATTTTTAGTCATTGAACAATGAAGGTTGGAAGCAAACAGTTGGAAACAACAATTGCTCTAACTTTCAGTATTCTCATTGTGTACATAGAATGCTTCACTGATGTGTGAGGATCGTACAGCCGTAAAAGGGTGTGTTTCACTGCAAAATTTTTTTCCTTTTCGGAACAGCTGATGTCTTTTTAAAGTGGTCTAGAGTTATCAAAGTGAAAGTGGATTTTCATGATATGATTGATTATCACCAAGAAACCAGTTGCTTTCAAACTTCAGGAAAAGTGACTTGATTTAATCAAGCAACATCTCGGTCACTGCACAGCTTTTTTCATCTTTGAGCAATAGTTTTTGTTAGTTGTTGAGGGTTACATTACTCTGGGAAAATCTAAACTAAACAAGCCTACTCCTGAGTGGGGTATCTCAGGAATAACACTCCAACCTTGTGATCTTTATAGATGACATAGAGTAGAATAATACTGGCATTTTTGTACTGGAAAAAAATTCTCTTTCCTGTGAAGAGAAGATTTGAAAAACACTGCCAGGTTCTCCACAAGAAATCTTTAATTTTTTGTGGAACTCTTATATGAAAAGTACAAACGAGACACTTTCAACTGCAAGTGCAGGTTTCCCTGAAGTATGTGAAGTGGTTGTCTCCATTCACACAATTCTTGTTATTTTTTTGTTCATTAATGAACAAAACAAAATTCCTCAATACAGAAGAATTTGGATGTTTAATTCACGCACAACATCACAGTCCCTTCTGAGTAGGAGGGAGAACTGCATGTTGTTTTCTTGTAAGATGTATGGCATCCCTATGGCATCATGAGCTGGTCCAGAAGTAGCCAAGTAACGTGACAGCCTAACATGGTTGATACACTGTGCTATACTATATTGTCTAATAAGATAGGAGTATTGCAGAGAATGACTGGACCTTATGGAAAAGGGACAAAAATTTATCATAAAACTTTTCTAGTCTGACTGCTTTTCACCATTTCAAAACCATGTTAATGTGATCACACCGTTCATCTTAGTCCTGTTTATCCTTTCCCTTCTCGTCCTCTATCCTAAACACTTTGAGCATATTGCCAAAATTTACTCTGAAGGTAGAAACTTTGCGTCTTTGAAAATTCTGTAAGTTTATGAAAACTGACAGTTGGATAAAGAGAAATCCAAGTAGGTGCCCTCAGTGGCAAAAAGGGGTATACAGAACGAATTGAAGGAAGATGTATTTTGGTGTCTTGCTAACTGGCCAGCTTGGATACATGAGTTGGGAACAGGCTGCAGCATGTGCTGCATCCTGCCCAGTTAGGTACATGTGAGAATGTTTTAAGAACAAACTGAAAGTCTTGCTGATGATGGGTTATCTGGGAAATTGTAGTGGGGATGGGAGGAGGTAGAGGGGAATGTACTGGGGAGTGATGTTCATAGCGTGCAAGTGTACTAAACCAAGCTTCGCTAGTCCTGCAGCTTGTGGAGCTTGCTCTGCACTGGAATTCTCTTTGGTGACAAAAAGTCACTTCAGCTATTTCTGGATTCAAATAGTCAACCCAGTACATTTCTTGGGATTAAAGTATTAGTCAAATGAAAACTTTCTGAGCAAGAAAGTATTATATATTTAGTTGGATCATGGTTGAAGAAATTGAAGGTTTTTGTTGTTGTTGTTGTTTTGGGGTTTTTTATATAATTAGGATTTAAGATTTGTTGATGTGGTTGGAGAAGAAAGTTGCTGGTACCGAAAGATTGGGAGGACTTCGAAGTTCTAGGTTTAATGAAAAACATAAAATCAGTCTGTAATTCATGCAGCATATTTTCAAGTATGAAAGTACCACAAAATTAGTCACTTGCGGCTATGATAGTATTCTTGTAAACCCACTGATTTATCAAAAGGATGCTAACAGAGGAACTGTATAATGATGAGATATGGGTATCCAAGACTTACATGCAACTTTGAAAATGTGGTATAATATGTATGCACTTGTCCTTATTTATAAGCATTGATGGCATAGGCTTCATTTAGCTGAAGAAAAATACAGAAATCTTGGCATGCTTGAGTGGGAATTGAGCAATTAACCAATGACTAGTGTAGCTGAAAAACTCCATCCCTTAAAAAAAAAAAAGGTAGTAATTGTAGGATTGGGTTTCAATAACTGTCTTTTCTCTACAAGACACACAGAATGCAAGTAACTGGTACTGCTTTTCATAAATCTACTTGCCAGCCAATCTCTTTGACTTCTTGCTCCCTTGGAACCAACCTTTTAAAACCAGTTTTCAGTAAATTATTTGTCAGATATAAGCAGGTGTAGAGAAGTCTACTATACATTATTCTGGTGAGGTTCGATGTAGTAACCTCCAAATATGACTAGCCACTAGGACTTGAATATGTAGTCACTATAAAATGTTGCTCATGTAAAAAAGAGCCTGAACATCCAAAACAATTCCTTCACAAGAGTCTCATACAGCTTTCCAAAGATACAAAAACAAAACTGAAAACTCTTGAGTCAAAAGGACACTGAAATGGTTTCTCCCACAAAGCTTATCACTAGCCTGTGTCAAGCAGAGTTGTTATCTAGTCCTATACAACTTTTTTCTTCATTTATTGTATCTGATGACTTGAAAAACAGAGTAAATATTTGTGGTTTTTCTGGCATCTACTAATGGAAATATTTTGTTACTCAATTGTAACTATAAAGTAATAAATGGTAAAAACTTATTTTTTAGATATTTGCATTCAGCTTTCTCGCACAGTGTTTAATGCCCTCTTAAGATATTTTACATATTAATATAAAAAATTATGTAGTGATACCTTGTAAATTCTGAAAATGTGCTTTCAATATTAAAATGAAATACTGTATTTTAGCACTAATAATTGATCTGAAATCTGCAATATTTCTTCTTGCACTAGATCACTTTTGATCCTGGATGACATTTGGGATTCCTGGGTATTAAAAGCATTTGATAATCAATGTCAGGTTCTTATCACCAGCAGGGACAGGAGCGTAACAGATGCTGTGGCTGGTAAGGAACAGTTTTCTCTCCTGCACCATAGATTGTGTGTGTATATGTATACAATTTATTCTTGTGAGCTTTTAAAAGAATCTGATAGAATCTATGTCTATCAGCTTGTGCACAAGAGGCAAAGTTTTAGAATTCTGCTCTGTAAGACTTCATGCTCTTTGTGAAAGAAAAATGGTATATGTTATCCTGAAAATTATACATCTACATAAAAGAGTGCAATGATTCTCAACAGGATAAATTAACCTCTGACACTGCTGCTGTTAGACTGATTATCTCTATGCAGTCACTGCTATGACATGCCTATAATGCAACTGTAATTATTACATTATAGTATAATTTTTTGTCTCTCTAATGCAAACTTGATCCTGCTAAGTAGAATTTATACTCTTCGTAGTACTAAGCATATAAAATACTATGCAAAAAATCATGAGGCAGGTCCTTTGCTACAGATTTGCTTAGAAAATACTCTCAATTTCCATAGGATTTTTTACATTCTTTTAATTTTTTTCCATGTTTCTGTATCTAGGCAATAAATATGAGGTTCATGTGGAAAGTGGACTAGCACATGAGAAAGGACTGGAGATTTTATCACTATTTGTGAATATGAAAATATCAGAACTGCCAGAACAAGCTAACTGCCTTGTAAGGGAATGCAAAGGTATACTTGCTTCTCTTTAGCATACCATTTGTCACCGAATGTATTTTTTTTTTCTTCTAGGTTTTGACTTACAGGTAGAGGAAGGAACATTCTTTAATACTGTACGCCCCAAGTAAAACACAAGTGTTGGTTAAATGCTTTTTGGGTTTTTTTTAAACTAAATAGAAATGTGTCATGTTGATTTTGGAGTAGTTTTCTTCAACATGTCTTCTCCCTGCCCCCCTGTTAAACTTAAATTTGGTGAATTTGCAGATATCTATATAGATTACATGTTTTGTTTGTCTGTTTGCCACACTTCAACAATTTAGTTGATGTATTGGGAAAATTACCTGATTTATTCAATCACTTGACTAAACTATTGGATTGTGTTCCTTGAAAACCTCTTACAATTAATTTAATCTTTTCCTTCAGGTTCTCCTCTTGTGATATCCTTGATAGGTGCATTATTACGAGACTTCCCTAGTCGTTGGGAATACTATCTCAAACAGCTGCAGAATAAGCAGTTTAAAAGAATAAGAAAATCATCATCTTATGATTATGAAGCCCTTGATGAAGCAATGTCCATAAGTGTTGAGCAACTGAATGACAATTATAAAGACTACTATAAAGACCTCTCTATCCTCCCGAAAGATGTTAGAGTACCTACTAAGGTAATAACAGCAATGCAGAAATCATCTCATAATTTTTAGTGAGATACAAACAATAACTTTAAAGAATTCATATAATTTATAATTGCTGTGTATAACTTATGTTGTATGTAACTTAATAGTAATTACTAGGTTGGGTAGGTTGGGTCTATTATCATATAATGACTTTTATTGTCAGTAGTGAAACTAAAAAATTGTAACTGAATAAATCTATTCATAATGTTAGTTTAATGTCCATTCCATATATAGCTCTTTAATTAGATTGTAATTGAGCTCTCTGAAGGCTTAGAAACTGTTAGATGAAATTTATCTCCTTTAAGAAAAAGGTATGATCACCATAAAGAAGCACAGATAGACAAATGATGGGATAACTTGTATTATCTGTCCTATAGGTTGGTATGGAAGAATTGGTAATTACCATTTGTAATATGTCTATATTTGTTAGCATGTGTTTTGCTGTCAGTTAATTGGTAGCCTTATATGGTATTCATAGAAGTCATAATTACCCCTTAGTTCTGATTCTTTTCTGTCTTAATGTGCTTTTTTTAGGTTCTCTGCATTCTTTGGGATATGGAAACTGAAGAAGTTGAAGATATACTACAGGAATTTGTTAACAAATCACTATTGTTCTGTGATCGTAATGGGAAGTCATTTCATTACTATTTACATGATCTTCAACTTGACTTTCTTACAGAGAAGAATCGCAACCAGCTTCAGGTAGGGTATTGACTGATCTTTTTACTTTTAATTTTACTCTCCAAAGCTGGGCATTCTTCAGAAAATGTTCCTTTGTTAAATAGTATCCAGAGTAGCTTCATAGAATAGGTGCATGATGCAGTTGAACTTAATGCTGACTAATTAAAAACATTTATTTTCAACTTGAAACTGTGGAGTGATTTCATGATGGCTCCATTTGGAGCTAAGAAACTAAATTGAGAGAGGACTCTATATCCGTTATTTCCCTGTCAAAGGTGTTTCCAGCAGGAGACAGAATGTTCCACTGATGATTCCAAAGGCATCAAGACACTACCAGAACAGGAAGTTTCCTCTTTAATTCAGAGAAGTGCTTTTTACTCCTTCTATTCAATTTAAGGCAATACTTGCAGGGAGAGGACACATAAGTTGGGCCCAATAAATTTATCAGTTCTGAAGGACCGGGCAGAAGAAGTAGGTAGGAAGAAAAGGCAAGTTTTTAGACTTGCTTTTGATCTACTTACGTAAGGGGTTTTTTTTGTTGGCTACCTGCATTTAGTGTGAAGAGTGATTTGATAGCTGTTCTCAACTTAAGAAGGAAGGCTAACGGCTTGCTTTTCTGTCTTTTAATATCCAGTGAATGTTTCTGGAGAAGTTTTAAGCAATAAATTAGGTTAAGTGTACAGTTTTGGAAGGTAGGCTTTTCTTATTTCATTTGTTGACATATTATGATGGTGAAATAATAATATTATTCCTCAATACTATATGCAATGTGATTATTATTAATATACTTGTAATTCCTCAATACTGAAACCAGTCCATCTGACTATACCAGTCCTTGGTATAGTATTAACTGAAAATGTGTTTTTATTCAAATTACAGGAGCTACATAAAAACATAGTAAATCAGTACAAGAAGTATTACAAACTTAATACGCCTGTTCCATCTCAAGAGGATTGCATGTACTGGTATAACTTTCTAGCATATCACATGGCTGGTGCCAACATGCAGAAGGTGAGTTCTGACCAGTGTCCTCTGTTTCCCTTCGCAAGTCCCCCTTACCCTGCCTTTCCCCCCAGGCTTTTTCCTACTTGAACCTCTCTTCTCCCAGGCTTTTGTAAAAACACTCTTAACATTGAGTCTTTTAGGGACTCCACTGATAATCACTGTCTGTTGTGAAAACTACTTTTATTTCTACCCTTTGTGTCTTGTCTTTTCAACCAGTTCTTGGGAAGATTTCTTATTTTGTATCATAATAGCTTGTGTTTTCTTCTTGAAGAAGCTTTGGTAAGAAATCTTCTCTAAACTTTTTTGAAAGCCCAGGCTCACTTTACTGTATGATAATACAGGTAAATTGATTTCTGCAGAGAATTTGATCAGATTAGTTACTTTTTTCTACAGAAGTCTTGTTAGTTTTTTTCCTCTTATGCCATACTGTTTTGTATGTAAAAGTTCATTCTCTGTATTACCAGATTTCAACAGCCATAAAAAATCTAGCAAGAGTTAGATGGGCAAATCTCTTGTTCCCAGGATTGCTTTGGTGGCTTAAAAAAATTGCTGTCATTTTTGCCACCTGCTGTTCAGTAGGTACTGAGCTAGTATAAGGTGCACATCATGCAGCAAGATTAATACTTCAGTAGTTTCACTTGAATGTCTTTAGAATTCTTGCCTTGAATAGCATTTGGTTCTGGTTGCTAATGGCTTTATTTCGTATGTACTCAAACCTTTTCAGTTGAGCCTCTTTTGAGATGGTTCATCTGACTCCTCATAGAAAATACAGTTTGTGTACTTACATCTTACAAGAACCTTCATAATTATTGTAGGCTACAAATCTATTTTTTTCAGATCATACTGATTTCATTGTCTTCGTCTCTTTAATTTCAGTGTATTGGAAAAATATTTTTATTACTAGCCTTTTTACATTGTGTAGAATTAACCTTTCTACATTTTGTAGAATTAGCTTCTCCGAGTTCTCATTATGACTGTATGCTTCCTAGAGTTTACACTGTTTATATTACTTATTTCTCATTATTTAGACATGATTTCTATTTGTTGAAAGGCTAATAAAGATGGGAGGTATTCTTTTTCTTTGTTTAACCATGATAATCTTTTAATCCTTGCCGTATTTACTGATTTTAAATGGAATTTGCTTTGAGCCTGTGCAGCGTTGTCTCTAAGCAGTTTTTTTGAACCTAGAAAGTATATTTTTTTAATAAGAAGGGTTTTTTTTTAAGTATATTAACTTCAAGAGGGGATCTAAAGAAAACATTGGACCAATACTTGTTGAAGATGACCGTCTAACTAATAGGGATGAAGAAAAAGCAGAGGCATTCCATGGGGTTTTTTGCCTGTCTTTAATAATACAGATAGACCTTGGGCTGCCCAGTCCCCTGAGTCAGAGGACCATGAATGTGGGAACAGTGACTTTCCATTTGTGGACATTGAAATTGTAAGGGACCAGCTGTATCAGCTGAATGTTCACAAGTCCATGGAGCCTGATGGGATTCGTCCCAGAATACTGAAGGAGCTAGTGGATGTTATGGCAGGACCCCTCTCGATCATCTACTGAAGTGGATGTCTGGGGAGGTCCCTGCTGACTGAAAGCTAGCCAGTGTTATTCCAGTCTACAAAAGTGATGTGAGGGAAGACCCAGGGAACTACAGACCTGTTAGTCTAACCTCAGTTCCTGGGAAAATTATGGAGAAGATTATACTGTGTACTACTGAAAGGCATTTAAAGAATAATGTAATCATCTGGCACAACATGGGTTCACAAAGGGAAAGTCCTCTTTAACTAATTTGATATTCTTCTATGAGAAGGTCACCTGCCTAGTGTATGAAGGGAAGGCAATGGGTGTATTTTTTTCTGGACTTTAGCGAGGCTTTTGATATTGTCTCTCACAACATCCTTCTGGACAAGTCCAATTGTGAGACAAGCAGCTACACGGTGCGTTGGGTGAAGAACTGGCTGAAGAGCAGGGCTCAAAGGATTGTAGTGAATGGGGCTACATCTGGCTGGTGACCGGTCACCAGCGGTGTTCCTCAGGATTCAATTCTAGGGCCAGTTCTGTTCAATATATTTATCAGTGATCTGGATGCAAGAGTTGAATGCACTATTAGCACGTATGCTGATGATACCAAACTGGGAGGTGCTGTTGACTCTCTTGAGAGACCAGAAGCCTTGCAGAGGTATCTAGATAGATTGAAACATTAGGGTATGATTAAATGGGATGAAATTTAATGAGTCCACATGCCAGATTATGCACCTAGGACGGAGTAACACCAGGCACAAATATAAATTGGGAGAGGAGTGGCTGGAGAGTAGCCCTGCAGAAAGGGATCTGGGGGTGCTGGTCAGCAGCAAGCTCAGTATGAGCCAGGAGCATGCCCTGGCAGCCAAAAGGGCAAACCCCATCCAGGGGTGCATCAAACAGAGCATAACCAGCCAGTCAAAAGAGGGGATTATTCTGCTGTATTCAGCTTTGGTGAGGCCTCACCTGGCATGCTGTGTGCAGTTCTGGGCCCCACAGTTTAAGAAGAGTGTGAAGGTGCTCAGATGCAGCCAGAGGAAGGCAACAAAGCTGTTGACAGGGCTGGAAGTCGTGTCCTATGAGGAGTGGCTAAGGACTTTGGGCTTGTCTAGTTTGGAGAAAGGAGGCTGAGGGGCGACATCACTCCTCTCTGCAGCTTCCTGACGAGGGGAAGTGGAGAGCGAAGTGCTGAGCTCTTCTCCCTGGGATCCAGTGACAGGACATGTGGGAGTGGTTCAAAGCTGTGCAGGGGACGTTTAGATTGGACATTGGGGAGCATTTCTGTACTGAGAGGGTGGTCAAACACTGGAACAGGCTTCCTAGAGAGGTGGTCAATGCCCCAAGCCTGTCAGTGTTTAAGAGGCATTTGGACAATGCCCTTGACAACATGCTTTACCTTTTGGTCAACTCTGAAGTGGTCAGGCAGTTGGACTAGATGATCGTTGTTAGGTCCCTTCCAACTGAAATATTCTATTCTAATAATTCTATTTGCTGTTTCTGATTGCCTTTTAAGTAGCTTTCTCATTTTTAAGCTAAATGCAACTTAACAGATTTTTTTGGTTACCTTCATATTCAGCATCTATTGGGAAGAGCAACAGATCACTATTAGCAGGGTGATCTTTGCTAAACTGGACTAGAAGAAGCTTTTTCAGAGTTGGATCTTAAACCAGGTCTTGTGTGCTACAAAAGTCAAGATTTGCTTTGTACCCCCATCCCTTCTCTGACTTGCTGTATCAAAGACCAGTCCTTTGCATTAAAATAACAAGCGTAACATATACCCAGAATTTTCATGTCTGATTGAATAGGATGCAGGAAACAGGAAATTGCCTAAGTTTTTAACTAGAGACAATTGTACTGAAGCATATTGATACCTAATGTGTTTCCTGTGCTTTTCTTTTTCCCCTTAAGCAGATTCTGTTGTGGAACTCACAGTCTGAACTTAAATTTGTGTTTCTTGTAGGAACTCCGTGATCTTATGTTTTCTCTAGATTGGATTAAAGCTAAAACAGAATTGGTAGGGCCTGCTCATCTGATTCATGAATATGTTGAATATAGTTCAATCCTGGATCAAAAGGTATGATAATAAAAGGTAAATGATCAATCTGTTTCAAATATATTTTTCCATATTTAATTGCATTTTATTGGATGTACGTATATACAGGAGATATATAGAAAGCTTAAAAAACTGAAACATAAAACCAGTACTAAGTTAAACTTTAGCCTGGAGAAGAGAAAAATGAAGAAAACTTAGTTTTGAGTTTTAGTTATAACTTCAGTGTATGCGCAAGTAGTTGACCATGGAACTCAGTAACTAAGGTGCACAGCAATAACTAATGGTGGGTACGTATGGTACTCTGCTTTTTGAGGAGGTGTAGAATTTTGCTGGCCGCTTGGAATAGTCTTTCTGATATTTCACATTGACTGCTTATTGAGTAAATCACTGTTGCCAGTATCCTTTATTTAAAAAATAAGGATAATGCGCTTTCCTGAATAGGATAGTGACATACTTCAGTCTATCATATGTATAGAACTAAATAGGAAAAATAGAACTAAGTGCTTATGTAAGAATATTTGCTATATAGAAAATTAAAAAAGCAAAGGGTGCTTAGGGAAGAAATCCACTTTCTATGTTATCATATTATCTGCTCTGTACGTAGGATAGCACAGTACGTGAGAACTTCCAGGAATTTCTGTCTTTAAATGGGCACCTTCTTGGACGGCAACCGTTTCCTGACATTATACAGCTGGGTCTTTGCCAACCAGAGACGTCAGAGGTGTATCAACAAGCCAAGCTACATGCTCAAAGAGAAACAGGAGCGTTTTATTTGGAGTGGATGTAAGTAGCTGCTGGCCATCTGCTGATATGCTGATCCCTTGATCCAAGAAAATCATTTAATGTATATCTAACTACAACGTATGGCAAATATAAGGACCTTTTTAAGAACTGCTGTGTTTCTTCTGGGAAAAAAAAAAGAGGGGAACTCTAAATATGCAAGGCCACAAATTAGTAATAATTACATGGGAATAAAGAGAGCAATATGTTTACTTCTATACTCAATGATTGTTCCCTTTAAATAACTATACAAAGATGAAAATAAGATACTTTGAAACTTCTCTAAATACTTTTTTTTTTTAAAGTTAGAATTGTAGTGCAAGTATTAAGTATGTTACAGTATGTTTTTAGGTTTTCTAGTAAAAATGTACTCTTTAAAAGGGAGACCATTTATGTTAACTTGCAAAGTTTTTGAAAGTAGCAAGATGGGAAATACTAAAAAGGCTTTGTAATCTCTATTCAATCTTGAAATTTCTTCTATTTAAATATTTTTTGGAAGTTGTTTAAGGAAAAAGTATACATAGCTAAACACTTTTTCCAGCATAGTCTAGTAGTCATCTGACCATATAACTGTCTCTGTTAGAGTCATTCTGTTTTGTAACCACCAAGTACTGCAGATATCAGAACAGAAACATTAAACAGAAGAATCTATGTCAGGTAATTATGGTAATAACCAGGGAGGTTAATCCAAGCATACTTGAATTCAAGTCTTCTGTTTGAATACCAAATTCTAACAAAAACACTTGGAAGTTGTACAATTCAGAAGAGTCAATCTCCAGGTAGTTTAGGGCTTTCACCTTGGATGTGGGAGACTTAGGCTGAACAACACAACTGAAATCACAACAGAGACTGATGTTTTTGTCTCCCACCCTAGGGAAAGGTTCTAAAAATTGTTTGTGGGCTATGTAGCTGAATACACTGCTCTCTTGACCAGCAATTTTAGCTTTATTAAAATAGGAAAAAAAAAAAAAATGGTGGCTTTGATGAGTCAGTGTTTTGCAGTGAAAAATTGCTTTCATTCTGAAGTGCAACTACTTTGTTTGAGATGTTTTACCATTATTTAAATGCGAAGCCTGAAGATTGAAACTGATAATGATAAAAACTTGAAGTACACTGATTCACTTTGATTCTAGAAAAAAGTTTATTCTTGTAATGATCTATTCATCACCAAAAATCATCTTATTGCAGTGACAGCTTTCTGTATTAACATCTGGCTAAACAGGATGACTATGATTGCTACTAATTCTAAGTTTTTGTTAAAGTGAGGCAGGAATCATCTAAGATGTGTTAGATTCTGTACTTAATCTCTAATTGAAATGCAGTGGTAGTCATAGATTTTATTTAAATATCTAGTGATAAGAATTGAGTCATTGCTGTGAAAATTGAGTAAATTTACTAAGATCTACACAAATTTACACATGTTTTTGAATAAGCTTGAAAGGAACCTGCAGGAGAATAAGAATTCTCAGGAAGAAATTTATATTTGGAAATACTACTTACCAGATCATAAAAATGTCATTAGGAAGGCTGTGTCTTGCAGTGCAACAGCTTTGCCCATAAAGTAGTGTGTTAATTTCTCGTGCACATATTATCTTTCTTGATCTCTAAGCTGTAATGATTGGAGGGCAATAGAAACTCAGTGAATGTTGGAATTTGTGATACCCGTATTACTTCAGCATAAAGGCTGAGAGCTAAGGTATAGTGGGTTGGTTGGTTTATTTGTTATCAAGCTTGCTGCTCAAGATGTGTGAAAAAGTGTTAGCTTTTTATAGAGGATTTTGAACGATAAAAAGGCACTAGGGAATCTTACTCATCTAATATCAACTGTCTTACCCTGTAGAAATAAAAAATCTTTGAAAAACCTCTACCGTCTGGTGGTTCGCCCACATAGAGATGCAGTATACCATGCCTGCTTTTCTAAGGATAGACAAAGAATAGCATCATGTGGAGCTGATAAAACACTTCAGGTAAGATACCTATGCGTGAGTGAAAAGAGATGTTGTGTACCATTATGATAACATTTGTTAGCAGACCTGTCCCTTTTCTCTTGCTGTTGTGTGGAGATATTAGGGATTTAGAACATACTGGAGACAAATAATTTAAAAGGATTTATTACTACATAAATATCAAGTTGCATGTTTAGAATAGTAAGCGTTATCTTCCAGTTTGAAAGCTGAACTCTGTGACTTCAGGGCTTATACCCTCACTGGTGTAATATGTGAACGTGAGATGCCTTTTAATGATATGGAGAAGCTCACAGCCTAAGTGATGCACCCCAGCGTATTTAACAGTTGCTTGCAGAAATGTTATTTCGTCACAGTACACCTTCTACAGAACTGAGAAAGAGTAGGATGTTTTAGCTATAGCTTTACTATTTCTATAGGATGGTAACAGACATTATGTTAGTTTGGTGCTTAATTAGTAAATTGTCTCACACAAAAGAAATAAATCTGGGGAGAAAAATGAATCCCTGAAGTTGAGGACAGTACTAGATTGGAAACAGGCCAAATGTGCTTAAGAAGTAGATTAGGGGAGACAGAGAGGAAAGTGACTAATACAAATTTGCCAGCAGTCTGCCTGGAGGGGAGCCAGCCAGCTCTCAAGAAAACTAGCAGTCAGCCAGCCAGTAACCTGGTAAAGTATCCATATTCCAGACAGCCAAAGGTAAGGGAAAAGAACAACTTTTCTGCAAGCCTTTGGTATTGTTTTGGATGCTTGATAAGTTGAGTACTAAAGTAATAATATCAGTGGTGCTTAGTTGCTGTTCATTTGGCTACTTAATGTGTTGTTATCGTGGTTTTTTTATTTATTTTATTTGCTGGCTTCTATCCTATTCTGATCATGGCATCCACGTAAGGAGGTGCCTGGTGGATGTGCTCATTTTATGCTGTGCTGAAGTTACTGTGCTGGCCTTCTGTACTTAATGGCCTGACTGCAGATTGCTTACTTTTCATTTTCTACCCAAAAAAGTAAAATCTGTGGATTGCGGTTGCATTTAAACTAAACCTTTTGTTGACGAAGTAATGGGAAAATTAGCAATAATCCTTTTTTCATCATTGAACTTACTAATGTTTTTTCTAATAAGTGGTCTAAGATTTTTCAGTTTTCAAGGCTACTTCTGTTTCTGTAAAATAAAAAAATAACAATTGCTAGATTAAGAACAGATATTCTGCAGAATTTGCTGTAAATGTAGATTTCCCATTACTTCAGTATTTCTGCTCTTATTTGAGCAAATACCGATCATTTCATTGTCATGGATATTCCCATTCAATGAAAAAGTAAAGGGAGGAACAGGGACTTCACAATTTTAGTATCCTGAAAGCTGCTGTAAAGAACACCTTGTGATTTTGTTTTAATAATTAAGAATATGTAACCTAAGGAGAAAAGGGAGACCTGATTTAATATGTGACACTTTTCCCCAACTGTCCTTTTATTGCCTACAACTAGCTCAAGACTTGAGTCATCCTGTACGACTTTCCACTACTTTTTTTTCTTGTTTGTTCCCCAGATCATCAATTGCTCCTGAAATTCTTACTTTCCACAGAAGTATGTCATATATGTATGTATATACATACATGCATATATATATATAAAAAAAAATAAACCCCCTGGAATTTGTAGTTTTAAGAATAGTTTAGATTTTGTTACTAGATAGTATATTGCAGCTACTGTTAAAAAATTCTGAGAAAGGACATGGATTTAGGCTTAAAGAGTGAGGGTAGAAAAAGTCATTAATGAAACACACATTGCATACAGAAATCTTTTTTTAAATCAGTTTTCACTTCTTCTCTCCCTAACGATTTCTATCATCCTTACAAAATTGAAGCTCGAATTAAGTATTCTTATAGTTATTATGTTAGCTTCACTGAAATTATAAATGCTTTCAGAAGTAAACTAATTTTATGAAGAGCTTATATAAAGAGAGCTGTTTGAGAATAAACAAACATTTGTGGTTTAAAATTGTATGTGAGTTGTAAGATTTTATTGTTTGTTATTTTTAGGTGTTTAAAGCAGAAAGTGGAGAGAGACTCCTGGAGATAAGTGCCCATGATGATGAAATACTTTGTTGCACTTTCTCTGCAGATGGTGAATTTGTAGCAACTTGTTCTGCTGATAAAAAAGTGAAGGTAAGGAAATGGAGAGCAGACAGTTTTTCTTTCAAATTAATAATTCTAATTTCAGTCTTAACCAACTCAGGCAGAGTAGATTCTTAAGACTAAAGATTTTTTTAACTGTCTTAAATTTTATGTGGGTAATTTACTACATAACAAACAAACAAAAAAGCTCCACTTGTTACATAACGAAACAGATGTTTAATATTAACATACTTACAGAATTACTACTTATTTGTGTTATCAGATGTTTCTTTTTAAGTAGAACATAATGTATGAGTCTAATCCTATCCATAACGTAAGACAAATGTACCCATAATTGATTTTTTTCATGTTTTTTTTTTTTTCTGTTACATATGAATTATTTGGAATTTTTAATTCCTCAGATTGTAGCAAAACCTTGGTGAAATTCCAGTATTTATCAGATTCTAATCAGATCTTTCATCTCATAACTTCTTGTTTCTAAATGTAAATATATATGCTTTTGCTTTATCTTCAAAACATTTTTGAGGTGTTACGAAGTATGTTTTAGGGCTTTATCTGTATTTCAGCATAGTTTACTGATTTTCTTAATTTAAGTGCTTTAAATATATTTAAAAAGTCTTTTTCATCCTTCAATTCTGTCTAGATCTGGAATTCAAGAACAGGCCAGTGTAAGTGCGTATATGAAGAACACTCAGAGCAGGTCAATTGCTGCCAGTTCAATAACAGAAGTGGTCAGTATCTTTTAGCCACCTGCTCAAATGACACTTTCATCAAAGTAAGTGGAAAATGTTGAGATTATTCTCATGCTGCTTATCATAACAGGATAATTATTGATGTATAAATAGATTTAAACACTATAAATTAAGTTGTTTTTTAAATGAGCCTGGTAAAAGAGAGATGGCAACAGATTAAAAGTACCGACTACACCTCTGTAGTCGGATTTCAGCAAAGCAGAATAGAAGGAGTGTTTATGCTCAGCGAAGGAGAATAGGCAAGTCCTCTATTGGTAGGGCATGGAGGTGAGGGCTTTGGCAAGACTTTTAGAGGGTAGGATGGGAATGGGAGAGTATGGGAGTGAAATACCTGCTTAGAAACAGCATAAGAAAAATGAAAGCAGAAATTTAGGATTGAAAACATTAGTAATGTAAAAAACTGGATGCTGAAAGATTGGGGGGGGAAGCGTTATGGAAGTGGGTTTTTTAATTAAATTCTTTGGGCATAGTAACCAAATGAAGGTGGAAGCCGACAAAATAACAATAATCAAAGGAAGAGGTCTGTCAGGTTAATCACCTGGCACTGTTCAGACTGGGAGGCAGTATGTATACACAGAAAGAGGAGAAACTGGGCAACTGAAGTATGCATCTGAGGGAAGGGGGAAAACAGAAGAATCAAGTAAGACCTAGACTGTGGAAAATAAGAGTACAATTTCACAGTACAACTAAGCAAATCATAGTTAACTGGCACTGAAGGTGATGGTCCTACTGCCCTGGCTGCATATTCTTGCCTTTGTTGCAGTGCATGTGCGGATCTTACTCTGCCGTGGTATGGTTCAAGGAGCCAACTCAGCAAAAACGTCTGTTTGGTGGGATTGGTTTTCTGCTTGTTTAGTTCCCTGTAGTGGCTCAGTTGCCCAGTTGCAGTTCTGTTAGTATGGATATGGCAGTGATGATATTCAGACTGTCCAAGACTAATGAGAGATTTCATTTTTGTTATTATATGTAAGCTACGTGATGCTGAGCTT